GTACAGGCCAGTGGCAGAGCATTTGGCTAGTATATGTATATGAGGCCCTAAATGCAATCCCATCCAAAAGGAAAACAATAATACGAAATTTATCAAACATATTGACTTATCTATTATACTTATCTATAAGAGGATCAGAAGTGCTTTTTAAAATTATTTTATCTTGTGCTTGGCACAGAATAATTATATAACTAGTTGACATAAAAATGAATGCTGACTCACACATATAATCCCAGCTCTTGCAAGGCTGAGGTAGGAGGATCACTAAGGGTTCAAGGCCACCCTAGGCTACATAGTGAGTTCAAGGTCAGCCTAACCTACAAGGTGAGACTCTTGTCTCAAAAAAAAAAAAATTGAACATAGAACCTAACTTCAATGAGCCAAGACTTTGAGGGAAACATTTATGATAAATTTTATATTATAAACTGTCAAGTCAGCTGATATTGTGGCGTATGCCTGTAATCCCAGTACTCTGGCTAGCCTGGGCTACATAGTGAGTTGATGTCCAGCCTGAACTATATAACAAAAGTATAACTCAACCAAAAAATAAAAATAAAAAATAAACTATCAAGTAATATAATAATTCAATTAAATGGGGTCATAAATAGTTCAAATTCTTAAATAAAAAAATAAACACTGGAAAAGACATCCTGATACAAAAAAAAATCAATTTGAAAGAAGAGACTTTCTAGATCAAACATAATTTACACATAGGAGTTAAAAAGGAGAAATAGCCCAATAGGGTTAGCCCACAGGGCCTCTGCTCTCAAATACCATAGGAACAGCCATTTTGAGAATTTCCCAAATAGCTGGCAGGATCCTAGAAGCACTGCAGTGTATAGTCTCACATGTTAGATTTGGGATTATAGAAGCTCTTTCATCCCATCCTTTCCTCTCCACACACTGAGGAGGCTGCAACCCTGGGGCATTTTCCCCAGCATATACCAGGAGCGAGTAATCAGTGGCGTGAGAAACTCCCTCCCCATCTGCCCCATCTCAGAATCCAAGAAGATAAACGAGCAATGACATCACTGCTTGTGTCAAGAGTCTTCAATACCCCAGGCATGCCCACATCACTGCAGGGAGCCTGAACTCATGCCAACTGAGACATTCACCTGGCACACAGAGCTAACACTGGTCCAGTCTGGGTCCATACCCAGGCACTTGGGGCTTCCTCGAATCTACACTCAACTCTCACTGCAGTACTCCAATCATATACCTTCCAGAGGCTATGTCTGACACCCAGTACCAGTCCTGGGCAGCCTGGGTCTCCACAAGGAGCTCCAATCACACACAAGTCTCTGCTTGGTACACTTGGACTGTGGCAGCATCCATTTAGCACCAAGCACACTGCTCACACTCTGGGCAAAGCAGTCTTCACCCGGCATTTTGCCACAGTCCTGGGCACAGTCCCTGCCTGGCACAATAGGCCACTCCTCTGAATAGTTAGCAAGGGTGGAAATTGCCGATTTTGCTTGGTGCTCCAGACACCTGTGAGACACCACCCAGCATCCTGCACCCTCACTGGATCTGCCAGAATCTCCTCACATTAGTCCCAGGAGCACCAGCATTTCTTTTGGGTACCCTGAGGTGACACAAGCCTCCACCTGGGGTCTGGAGCTGGTCCCACAGACACAAGAATATATATATATCAGATACCGAGTAGTGGCCTCCAACCAGCAGGAATCCACACCAAGCGCCTCAGACTCCAAGGCTTCACACCTTTCTTGCCCTGATGTGACAGCTTGGACATTTGCCACAAATAGCAGTTTGCAGATAGGAGGCCCAGTAAGGTGAGAAATCTCCACACAAACCCAGACTATAAAGAGGTGCAAAGACAAATGTGACAGGTAAGACTAAAGACTGCAGGCTCTGGAAAAAAACACTCTACTGGAAATACATACAAATCAATCTCGCTCGCTCTCTCTCCCTCCCTCCCTCCCTTCCCCTCTGCTTTTGCTTTTATTTTCCTTTCTCTTCTCCCTTCATTTAAGCCAAGTTTTTTTTTCTTTTCCACTCTACTGATATTTTTTAGCATTATTATTACTGTTACTATTGGTGGAGTTTGGAGTTGTATCGCCCATTTTCTTAATCCCTTATTGAAATATAACTCTTAGGGCCAGGAATGTAGCTCAGGGACACCACGCCTGCCTAGCAAGCACAAGGTCCTCAGTTTGATCCCTGGTACCAAAAAGTAAATATAAATAAATAAAATAAAATATAACTCTATTTTATTATTTGAATAGGTACTCCTTTTTTTCTCTCTTCTTTTCTCACCGTTTCCTGAGTGTTCTTCTTTTTTTTTGTTTTGTTTTGTTTAAAGACTGGCTTTAATTTTTTTCTGAGTGTTTCTTCTTATTCTCTTTTCCTCTAATTTACTCTCCATTTGTTTTCATTAATCCTTATCCTAGTTGGGTTTTTTCTGTTACTGTTACCTAATAGTACTAATTTTCCTTTACTCCTTAATAGGACCTTTCATCTCTATCATGCCACTTTCCTTCCACCTTCCACTGTTTAATTTTTCATAATCTATTGCTTTTTACTTCATGCTCAAATAGCCATACCATTTACCCTTACAAATCTGTAGGTAGTTAACTCTCTTATTATGGCTGAGGACTGTTCTATTTTGAAAGGAGGTAAAATTTTTCTGTTTACTAGACTGTATATAAATACCTGGTTTGTCTTAAGAATCAGTTCTATAATTATATATCTTGTTCCTTTGGTTAAAAGTGGTACAGTGTTGCCAGGCATGGTGGCACATGCCTATAATCCCAGCACTTGGGAGGCTGAGAAAGAAGGATCACTGTGAGTTCAAGACCACCCTGGGCTACATGAGTTTCAGGTCAGTCTCAACTACATAGTGAGACCCTGTCTCAAAAAAAAAGTTGTAGTGTTAGTTATTAGAGTTCATCATTATCCAGTTTGTGCTTGATACTCTTTATTGGAAACAACTGGTATTCTATATATGCCAATATCTGGATTGTCTGGGGGTCATAAACATCACTACAGTCCATTACCAAAGAACTGGATACTAGACCAAACAGGCTGCAACTTTTCCTCCCTAAAAAAAGAAGGTGGTAGGATACACCCAAAGGTCAATAACTAGTTAAGCCTACAGGATATCTCTGAAAATTCAATGCTGTTCTAACCAGAAGTACTTCTCTCTACAAAATATAGGGACAGAGACCAAAGCACTCAAAAGTAATTAACAGAAGAGGTGAAAACTGTAACTGAACATATAAAGCTGGAAAGACTTCATAGGGAAGCAACATCTTACTAAATATCTTCATATAATCCCCAAGTCCTCACTCTATTAGACTTCAAACCACAGTACCCTCCAAAAAAAGGAAGGCAAGAAGAGAGGCATATATACTAACAAAAAAAAACAACAATAAAAACAACAACAGCAAACATATACAGTGGTACCTCAGTTCATAAACTTAATTTGTTCTACGATTTTGGAAAAGATGGCCACATTTGTGTTTGTGTGGAAAATATTGCCACAGTGATATCTGTCACCCAATGCAGAGTTTGCAAACAAAAACAAAATTGTGCTAAACAATTCTGCTTATAAACCAAATTGTTTGCAAAGAAAAGCATTCATGAACTGAGGACACATAGGACCATGGGGAAGCAAGGCAAGAAAAGACACCCAAGGTCTTCCAACTCTCCCAAAGCGAAGCAAAGGGTCACAAAGGGAGAAGAAAACAAATGCCAGGGAGGTGAACTCTATGAAAAGTACATAGGAAGGGGGGGGTGAACCAAAGTTCATAGCAAATTCACTCAATATGCTCACAGTGAATTTTGGGATAAGTAAAAATCTGGATGAGCTAACCAAAACAGTTCAGAACTTGAATGACAGATTCAACTAGGATATAGAATCCTCAAATGATGTCAGACAGAAATACCTGACATAAAAAACTGTAAAGGATTCATAAATTGCATGAATGACCACTGTGAAGAAAAAGTGTCTGAAACTGAGGACAAAAAAATGAATTACAATGAAATACTCAAAGAATCCACAAAGAAAGTAAGAGAACAAGAGATTATGCAGCAGGTACTAGATGACAAAAAGAAGACCAATCTAAGGCTAACTGAAGTTAGAGAAAAACTAGAAGATATGCCATGATAATCCTACTCAGTAGGAGCGGAACCGCCAGTTCAGACATTTGGTGTATGTGCTTGGCTGAGGAGCCAATGGGGCGAAACTACCATCTAAATGCCCCTAAATCAGAATCCCACGCAGGTGAAATGGTATGGCAGTGCCAAAGAAAAAACACATGATCATGTCAATAGCTGCAGAAACGATTTCCAACGAAATCCAACACTGCTTCATGATAAAAACCCTTAAAAAAAAAAAAAAGGACCATACCTGAATTTGATACAAGCTATTTAAGAAAAACCAACAGCCTGCATCATATTAAATGAAGTAAAAAAGCATTCGCGCTAATAATAGGAATAGGACAAGAATGCCCACTATCACCACTCTAATTCAACACAGTACATGAGAGCAAGTAGGCAAGAAAGAAATAAAAGGGGTATATGTAAGAAAGGAAGAACTCAAATTACCATTATTTGCAGCTGACAAGATACTCTACATAGAAAACCCAAGGAAACAACCGGACGGCAATGGCGGCAATGGCGGCAATGGCGGCAATGGCGGCAATGGCGGCAATGGCGGCAATGGCGCCAGCCCCCTCCCAACCTCCCTCT